CTATTTGCAGCTGTTCCTGAAACAAAAAAAAAACTACAACCACTGTGTTTGCCAGCGCTTAGATGTGGGGTTGAAACATGGAGGATAACTGTGAAACTCAGCAAAAAAAAAGTTGTGGACTACGCAGTGAGCGCTGGAGTAGAGAATAATCACCATAACAATAAGAGATAGGAAGACTGCAGAATTGGTCAGAGAACAAACAAACGTAGTCAGTATTCTTAATTAGTGGCATAGCCAAAAGGTAGCGCACCGGGCCTGTCCCCCCCCCCCCCCTCTTAATAATCTGTTTGCTATGACATGCAGAGAACAAAATGACCCTCGACCACACCCACATGCTACTTCCCGAAAAAAATTAGGCCTACGCCGTTGTTCTTAATGGCTATTTGCTAGACAAATGGAACCGGGCCTAGCAATGAGTGACGTTGAGAAAATGACACTGAATAAGATAGCGTTGTAAGAGTGGAAACTTGGGCTAGTTGGTGCGTAGTCATATTGCAAGATGTTTCAGCGCGCGAACAAAGGAAAAAGGACAGGGTAGATAGAAAGAGCGCTGACTTCCAACTAACTTTATTTGACAGAGTGCCAAGAATATATACTGCTAAAAAGGATGATAACAGAGCATGAAGGTAAAGGCACGCCTAATCTACACATCAGTAACAAACACGTGTGAAAGGTCCTCTATTGCCTCAAAGCCCAGCTAGGTAATCACGTTCAGCCTGTGATAAAGCAATCGATGATGTGCTTACACATTTATCTCCTAGCAAGTGTATTTTTTCGGCTTCAATAATTTCTCGGGTAAGCTGATCCCTGTGCCTTGCCAATATTGAGCACTGATCAAAGAGAGGGGTGCACCCACAATCTCGGCAATGAATGCCAAGATGCCCTTGTACCACATTGTGCACATTGTTTCGGTGTTCTCGGAGGCGGTCATTTATGCACCTGCCGGTTTGCCCGACATAGATGCACCCACACGTCAGTGGAATCAAGTAAACGACTCCCACTGCGCATGGGATGTAGCGTGTCCTGTGCGCGACAGAGCACGAGGCAGAATTTGCACGAGGTGCATTGACCCGTTTGCAAAGCCTCTGCAATTTTTCCGGGGCAGAAAAAACCACAAAAACGTTGGCGTCTCGAGCAATCTTTTTTAGCCTGTGTGATACGTCGTGCACGTAAGGCAGTACGACAGGCCGGCTCTTTCGGACACTGTTTCGCTTATCCGGTTTGTCGCCTCGCTTCAAGACAGTGACCAGCTTTTCCGCCACCGAAACGAGAACATGCGTGGGGTACCCAGCTTTGGTGAGCCGCTCTACTTGTAGAGCAAAGCTGTGGTGTACCATGTGGGGGCATGACTTCTTTAAGGCATTGACAAGGCAGAGGTTAGCGATGCCCCGCTTGACCAATTTAGAGTGAGCCGAGCTGAAAGGCAGAAGAGGCTTGCCGCTTCTTGGTTCATACATCCAGCAAACATGTCGGGAGTCTAACAAAAGCTTCAAATCTAGAAACTTCAGGTTGTTATCAGTGGGTGATTCATGGGTTAGAACTAGTGGTTTCAGGCATTCCCGGAAAACACTCAACACGTCAGAGGAAATGGTCTGAAAATTTTGACTATCACATTTGAACAACACTAAGTAATCATCAACAAAACGGCAAACTTTAAAAACTACAGAGTCGTCAAGCTTGTTTGACAAGACACGATCATGATGTGCTAAAAATATGTCACTAAGAATGGGTGCCAAACATGAACCAATACATATTCCACTTTTTTGTAAGTAGTTTTTGTCCTCCCATGATACGAAAGTGGCCTTCAAATAAAAACTGAGTAATTCTAATAAGTTGCTGTTGTGAATTCCAGTACGCGTTTGAAACGCTGATGATCCTAACCTGTCTATGGATTCCTCTACACATTTAAGTAGTTGGTCATGTGGCAAAGAGTAATACAAGTCCTTAATATCCACAGACATTGCCTGGAGTCCTGTGTTAGTTCGTCCAATGAAGTCAATAACAGCGTCAGAGTTCTTGACCAAAAAAGGATCGTCTATTGTTATATGTTTTAGCTTTTCCTGCAAGAAAAGCGCTACAGACTTTTGCCAGGTCCCCCTTTCTGTTACAATGACCCTCAATGGGCAGTCAATTTTGTGAGTTTTCGCAGAAAAGAACATGTCAAGGCTAAGCTTTTTGCAACTATCTATCGCCTTCGCAAGCTTTTGAAACCCCAGGGCCCCGGTAAGAGTTTTCGCACGCTTCTTAAGCTTATCCAGACCTATCTCATCATGCCCTGCAACTACAAATTCTAGGAAACGAACGCACAGCAGCTAAACAGAAGAAGTGTCGTGAACTCTCAAGCCTCGTAGACCGAAACGTCGAGTTCATGTGGCGCCAGACGCTCACTTACCTGCGGGCCATCACACCAAGGAAGTCTCCAGCTGCTAAGGACTGTGTGCATGTTCTCGGGGATGCTTTTCTTCCCGACAACGTTAAGCACACCCTATGCCTCGGACCAAAGTACGCGGTGGCACCTTCAAGAACACCGCACGAGCTCCTCACTCTGGTCAGGCAAGTCGCCCGTCGTGCTCCTGACTCTGAATGTGATAGATGTGTTGCTCAAGGCGTGCAGGTGCTCTCGAGATGTAAGCCTTCGAACAAAGTTGTCAATACAGGAAGCACTGTCGCGTACCTAAAGGCACATTCCTTGTCACTTCTGCCGGCTGACAAGGAAGGTGGTTTTGCGGTTCTTCCTCGTTCAATGTTTAAGGTGAAAGCTATGCAAGCAATGCAGTCTCTTTTCAACGAGAATGATGAGATAGGTCTGGATAAGCTTAAGAAGCGTGCGAAAACTCTTACCGGGGCCCTGGGGTTTCAAAAGCTTGCGAAGGCGATAGATAGTTGCAAAAAGCTTAGCCTTGACATGTTCTTTTCTGCGAAAACTCACAAAATTGACTGCCCATTGAGGGTCATTGTAACAGAAAGGGGGACCTGGCAAAAGTCTGTAGCGCTTTTCTTGCAGGAAAAGCTAAAACATATAACAATAGACGATCCTTTTTTGGTCAAGAACTCTGACGCTGTTATTGACTTCATTGGACGAACTAACACAGGACTCCAGGCAATGTCTGTGGATATTAAGGACTTGTATTACTCTTTGCCACATGACCAACTACTTAAATGTGTAGAGGAATCCATAGACAGGTTAGGATCATCAGCGTTTCAAACGCGTACTGGAATTCACAACAGCAACTTATTAGAATTACTCAGTTTTTATTTGAAGGCCACTTTCGTATCATGGGAGGACAAAAACTACTTACAAAAAAGTGGAATATGTATTGGTTCATGTTTGGCACCCATTCTTAGTGACATATTTTTAGCACATCATGATCGTGTCTTGTCAAACAAGCTTGACGACTCTGTAGTTTTTAAAGTTTGCCGTTTTGTTGATGATTACTTAGTGTTGTTCAAATGTGATAGTCAAAATTTTCAGACCATTTCCTCTGACGTGTTGAGTGTTTTCCGGGAATGCCTGAAACCACTAGTTCTAACCCATGAATCACCCACTGATAACAACCTGAAGTTTCTAGATTTGAAGCTTTTGTTAGACTCCCGACATGTTTGCTGGATGTATGAACCAAGAAGCGGCAAGCCTCTTCTGCCTTTCAGCTCGGCTCACTCTAAATTGGTCAAGCGGGGCATCGCTAACCTCTGCCTTGTCAATGCCTTAAAGAAGTCATGCCCCCACATGGTACACCACAGCTTTGCTCTACAAGTAGAGCGGCTCACCAAAGCTGGGTACCCCACGCATGTTCTCGTTTCGGTGGCGGAAAAGCTGGTCACTGTCTTGAAGCGAGGCGACAAACCGGATAAGCGAAACAGTGTCCGAAAGAGCCGGCCTGTCGTACTGCCTTACGTGCACGACGTATCACACAGGCTAAAAAAGATTGCTCGAGACGCCAACGTTTTTGTGGTTTTTTCTGCCCCGGAAAAATTGCAGAGGCTTTGCAAACGGGTCAATGCACCTCGTGCAAATTCTGCCTCGTGCTCTGTCGCGCACAGGACACGCTACATCCCATGCGCAGTGGGAGTCGTTTACTTGATTCCACTGACGTGTGGGTGCATCTATGTCGGGCAAACCGGCAGGTGCATAAATGACCGCCTCCGAGAACACCGAAACAATGTGCACAATGTGGTACAAGGGCATCTTGGCATTCATTGCCGAGATTGTGGGTGCACCCCTCTCTTTGATCAGTGCTCAATATTGGCAAGGCACAGGGATCAGCTTACCCGAGAAATTATTGAAGCCGAAAAAATACACTTGCTAGGAGATAAATGTGTAAGCACATCATCGATTGCTTTATCACAGGCTGAACGTGATTACCTAGCTGGGCTTTGAGGCAATAGAGGACCTTTCACACGTGTTTGTTACTGATGTGTAGATTAGGCGTGCCTTTACCTTCATGCTCTGTTATCATCCTTTTTAGCAGTATATATTCTTGGCACTCTGTCAAATAAAGTTAGTTGGAAGTCAGCGCTCTTTCTATCTACCCTGTCCTTTTTCCTTTGTTCGCGCGCTGAAACATCTTGCAATAAGATAGCGTTGAGGGACCTTGAGCGAGACGGCTTTTAAAAGTTAGCCCGTACCGAATGGAGGATGTATTCCAGTAGAACTTTTTATTGTGCATTCTTAACAGAAGTAATAAGGTGCCAACGAGACGAACACGTTCATGTGACTTCTTGCATCCGTCTTGTTCGTACTTTATTCCTTCCATTATCAAATCGAACACAATTCACACAATACTGGGTAAAGAGGACATCGTTGGACGAGTGTTTCAGCCTGCAGTGGGTATAAAGTATTCTTGGAATGATGATGATCGTCACCTTTAAAGGCATAAATACAGTATCTCTAGCATTCATACCCGTAAGCTCGGGGAATAATAGTTATCACTTTCCTGTACGCTCCTTTAGTGCTCTTAGCCTGGCTAGATGTTCACGTCATCTGTTTTTTCACGTTTCAGGAAGTCAAGAGGCTGGAACATGACTAGCGTGGCAAAACTCGACGCCGAAACTCATGAAACGGGGATACCGAGAGCCAGAGGAAACATTTCCAACAATCATAGCGGTAAGTCAGGCTTTGTCCTTGGTCAGTCAACAACGTTTGCACGAAACAGAATCGATATGCTTGAACCTGTGGCGTTTTTCCCTTATTCAAAATTTACCTGAACATTTACCTCGTTCTTGGGCAGCGCACAACATTACACGAGAACGAGAACAATATAAGTGTGGTGTTTACATGAAGTAAAGAAAAACATGCGAAAAACAAGTCCAGCGTGCATAGAAACGCACGCGGGACAATGAACAAACTTTGAAAGTCTTATTTAACAATAATTCTTAAAGTTCAACGTTCCAAAGCCACAATAATATATGAAACAAGCCGTAGTCAGCAGTAGACTGGCGGGTCAGCAGTGGAGCACCATGTCTACTACACCATCGTGGCAGATGTCTGCGTTCACGCACTGAGCGTACTGAAAGAAGTTTTAACCTCTGCTTGGCCGGATGGCATAGGAAAATGCTTGACAGGTCATGCTCATTGAGCGAACTCGGGACCACGGATCAGGAAGAACCGCACCACGCGATTGCTCACTAACAGGTTTCATCACAACTTTGAAGAATACATACATACACATGATACGCGCATGTATTTAAATGACAAGAGCACCAAGCGAGGCGCTTATGCAGGCACTTGTTTATGACTTATCAACATAATTGAATTCTCATTTATTTATTGACAAGCATGGTTGGCTTAGACACTGTACATGTATTAAGCTTCACAAGTTTAACCGCCTCGGCATGTGATGCGCCCTCGCAGATGATACAAAATAATGAAAAACTTCCGTCCACTTTTTTAGGACACTTGAAGAAAAAGAAACGTGTGTCTAAAATTGCAAACATTCATAAAATCACGCACGGGCTAAACAATGTGGCGAACCGTTGGATGCGCCCGTTCATTGGGGCAGTATTTGTTCAAAGGTACAGCGGAATTAAGGCAGAGAGCGTGTCCAAGAGCAAAAGGTGGCTCCTCAAACATGCAGCTCGGTTTGAGAAGTGCACCTGAGGTGTAGTATATAAAGTACCTCTGCCTTTTGGACGAATGTACAGTAGTCAGCAAGCTTAAGAGACCCTGGAGGGCAAAAGTATTGTTTGCAACTATTTTCGCGGTAACTTATAGCTTTCAGGCTGCTATTACATAAATTTAACCGTAATTGTTTCAACGCCGTTCGACACCAGAAAACCTGGTGCTGTAATTCAGGGTGATTTCGCGTCATTTCGAAACGCCCGGCTAAATACCACAAAAAACTAGCGCCCCGACGCGGGCAACCACCTGAGACTACGAGTGCTGAAGCATGGCCTCCGGGATGTTGTGCCGGCGGATTTCTTTGGCCATCCCAATCGCACAAAGAGAGCTTAATTTAAAAGGCGGGCATGGTTCGTTCTCCTTCCGCTCCATGGCTTTTGCCGCCGAGGGTAAGAAAGGCTGCCGCACTGTTGGCGTGGCTTCCATGAAGCAAGAAAAAATCATTCTGCATTTTTTATGCAACCTTCCACTGGCTTGAAAGAGACAGGTCAAGGTGTGCGAGAGGCAAAGTGCATGCTGGGAGTCGGGAAGACCAGCGATATAAGAACTGAACTTTTCGAAGCTTTGCAAAGTATTCACATATGAAACATTAGTAATAACCATGATACATGCATCACAAAAACAGATTTATGAAGCACAGCGTGCGCCCACCGGCGATGCCGAAACTCGTTTGCACTGAACGCCAGCGACGCATTCGCGTGGAATAACTGCGCACACGCCGCGACATGAGCGTGCTAGAAAGAAGTAAGCTTGAGCAAACACGAGAGGAACCCTAACTGACCTGACGAAACGCGGAATTACGCTCCAGCACTTGGCAAGCTCGCGAGGTCGTCACTCGCATAGCACCGCAGATTTCGCACTCAACCAGAAAGCTTCTCCGGTTTCGCTTACATCCTGTCGCACTGAAGCAGGACACAGGGGGATGGTAGTCACCATACGTCTATAGATTGAACGTCACCGGTGCTGCGAGGGCTCTGGACAAGACGCAGACATGTTTTATTCATTTAGATTCGCCCGTTTGCATTGCGAGTTTTGCGGTGTTTATTAGATACGTTGAGCGTTGCAAAAACTAACACCGAAACATTTAGCTTTTTCTGAAAGAATGCACCATCGTTCAAAGTATCGTGTGCCTGATATAAAACAATCGTTGCATAGCACTCACAACGAGCCTTTGCTTTTTTTTGTGGTCTTCTTGGATGCGTACTTCCGGAAACACTGCACGTGTGACCATTTAAATGCAGTCGAATGTACGGTGCACGTAGATTATATTCTCACGACGGCAGCGGGACCTGCTTTCTCTATGGTGGTCCTGGATACAACGGGAAAGGTTCGGGTCACGGCATCAGCATGGCTGCCATCAGCCGAAGCTGCAGAAGAGATGACCATAACTTCAGCGGTACTTCACAGTGGTGCAGACGTTACCCTGATTACTAGCGATTCTAAATCAGCAATTCCGAGCTATATGAAAGGTTGGGCATCCGAGGAGGTGGCACGCATGCTTAGCGCCAGGGCTGGGGACTTCGCGTCAGGCAAGATTACTGACAAGGCCCTCAAGTAGTCTACCGAGCAAATGGAGGACTTTGCAACCATCAACACCCACAGCCGTGAAACCAGCAGCCGCAACGCCAACAGCCAAAGACTCAGCAGCATCTCGCCCAATCGTAACGAGCGCGCCCATCTAGTCACGAGGCAACTTACCCGCCGCGACGCAGCCACCCAGGAAGCAGCCGCCACCGTGGTTGGGAGGAGCACCGGCGGAGGCACGGCGGTGGCCACAGGCATAGAGTTTCCCAATATACACTAAAGGGAACTCTGGCCCTAGTGTCTATGGGAGCTGCATGGCACGGCGCTTCAGCGAGCATGGTAATTAATAATGGGTAGTACACACATTTGTCTAAACTTCGTACTTCTTGCCTGCTTTTGTCTCCGTGTGTGTTCGTGTGGCTTGAAGCTGTTTTCTCACGAAACAAAAATTAGCAAATGTTCAGCGATTGCACTTCACCACCCTATTCGTTTTCGAATTACCTTTCCAAATTGGGTCACGAAGTTCAAAAAGTGCACGTTAAATAGTAAAACGATGCTTTACAATAGAAGGACAATATTATTGACTGACGGAAACTAGGAAAATGTCTACCCATAAATACCTCAAGAAAGGAAGCATGCTAAAACACCCTTATATTTGTCAAGTCAATGTATTTAGCGTCGAAATGAAATGATTTGTGAGGGAAAAAAACTGGTAGATTCCATGTACAGTGGGAATCAATGATATGCGAAGCACACATGAGAAATGTTATGTCACTCAAAAACCAGCACAACGTTACGAGGTGGAGGTGAATGACGCCGTACGTGGCTTCCGCGTCATGATTATCATGTTTCAATGTGTCGTTTACCTTCATCTATTCAAGTCACGTGATACCAAATTAAGTATTTGTGGAGCTATAGCAAAACTGCCGTGAGCACGCTATGTTCATGGTGCGTTGTCGTGTTCTTACATGACACGCATGTCAGGATTATCATGTTTGCACCAGTAATATATTTGGTCACTTATTGACGTCACGTAACATCAAATTTGGTATATGTGGAGCTAGCAAAACGGCTGCGAGCGCATAATGAAGGGCCCAATATACTCCAATGTAGCGTTGACGTGCGCGCACGCTGGGCACAACGGCGCTACGGTATAGCAAAACGCGAGCACTCTACAGTCTGCCGCCAGGCGCGACCAGCATCCGTCGGCACGGCCCGACGGCGACCGGCACGAAATGTCACTTGCTGCATTTAGCGCCGATGCGTCACCCAGACGCATCGGAAGGAGGGAGACGATGCGTCTCCCTCCTTCGTGACGGAGGGACGCCGGGCGTGCTGAAACGCGCATGCGTCAAAGCAACGCAGCGCTGCGCGCGCCTGTGAGTAGAGGACAGGACTGGTGCCTGGCGTGGCAACGATGGCGTGACGCGACGAAATAAACGAAGGCGAGCACGCGCACCGTGTCACGTCGAAATGTAATGGTGCCTTGAATTTGGCATGTAGTCATGTTCTCACGTGACACGCATCTCATTTTTTATTATATTTGCACCAGTCACATAGCTTCGTCATCCATTGGCGTCACGTAATACCAAATTTGGCATATGTGAAGATAGTGAAACGGCTGCGAGCGCATCATCAGTGTGGCATGTAGTCATGTTCTTACCTGACGTACATGTCGTGATTATCATGTTAGGATGTGTAATATACCTATGTCGTCCGTTCGCGTCGCGTAATATCGAGTTTGGTAAATGTCAAGCTAGCGAAACGGCCTCGATCGCCTCATGAGCGTAGCATGTAGTCATGTTGTTACAAGACACTAATCTCATGATTTTAATAGGGTGTGTCACTTGTGTTTCCCATACAATCGTGCCATATCATACCAGTTTTGCAACATGCTATATGATCGGAACCGCCGCAAGAGCTGGAGGACATTAAAATGTAAATCATAACATTATTGACATATATGTCATGATTTTTATTTTATGACTAGCCAAATATGTGCGTCCTACAGTCATGATATATCATACCAAATTTGGTATCGATACCATTGCCGAAACTGCCAGGAGAGCTAAAAGTCATAGGTGGATAGATAGATAGATAGATAGATAGATAGATAGATAGATAGATAGATAGATAGATAGATAGATAGATAGATAGATAGATAGATATGCTCAATGTCGCCGAAGTTCACTAAGAACTACTTTGTATTCAATAAAAACTGGCAGATTCCACGTACACTGGGAATCGATGATATACGAAGCACGAATGAGGAAGGCCCCGCAGCGGTGGTCTAGTGTAGTGGCTAAGGTACTCGGTTGTTGACTCGCAGGTCGTGGGATCGAATTCCGGCTGCGGCGGCTGCATTTCTGACGGAGGCGGAATCGTTATAGGCCCGTGTGCTCAGATTTGGGGGCACGTTGAAAAACTCCAGGTGGTTGAAATTTCCTCCACTACGGTGGCTC